AAAATGAAAATGCTATTATACATACATTAACGCTAGGTATAGGCAAAGAAAAATTGAAAGGTTATGGTTTAGAATGCTCGGTCAGTCATATAATATTCCTTATGCCCTATTTCCTCATAGGACAATATTGAGGTTTGGGCTTTTGTGTTTTGTGTTGATTTCAGTGTTACTTGTGCACCTTGTATCTCAGGCCCATAGTCTTATGCTGACTAGCCACTTGGATAATGATTCAAACAGATCGGGTACCCCCCGGAGAGTGGAGACTGATGCTCCTTTCATGGGGTTCTTGTTTATACTGATGAGTGGCCTAATACCATCTGTACTCAGCCTGTGACCAGTGGTCCCTGTCACAGGATTCTTTAGACTGGCAAGTGCCCTTGTGACATCTTTGCTTGACCTGTGACCAGTGGTCTCTCTTACAGGATTCTTATTTAGACTGGCAAGCACCTTTGTGGCATCTTTGCTTAAACTGTGACCAGTTTATCCTGTCATGAGAAGACTTGTTTATATATTAAGAAAATGTAATATTATCACCAGGACCAATTTAAAAGAATAGATATATTTCATAGCTGAAAACATTATATTCCAAATGGCAACATGTTCTTAACAATCTCTTCCATATTTTGAATTTTGACCTTTTCAAGGTTGTTTTTTTGTTCTTGGTGCTAATGGCAAACCAGTGCTTGCTTGAAATAACAGGCCCTTCAGTGTACTACATGGACGTGGTATTTGTGGAAACATATGCTATTTGTTTTACTTATAAGCATAAATTTAAAAGTTTTATGTGGTTCCTTTTGGGTATTTCATTATTTTAAGAAAACGTAGTATAGCTGATAGATTTTTAGTCAATCTAGGCTGGGACCTGAGATTCTGCATTTTTAACAAAGTCCCAGGTGATGCAGACGTTGGCTGGACAAAGAACCACACTTGGAGTAGCAAGGTCCCACAACAGTGAAGCACAGGCCATCTGAAAAACAAAAACCAATCCCACTGCTGTCAAGTTGATTCCAACTCATAGCAATCCCATAGTGTTTTCGAGGCTTTCAATCTTTACGGAAGCAAACTGCCACATCTTTCTCCCACATTGCTGCTGGTGGTTTTGAACCACCGACCTTTCAGTTAGCAGTCAATCACTAACCACAGAACCACCAGGGCTCCAGAGTTACTGAGAGATAAGACCATGTATCAGTATTTGTGAAAGCTCTCCAGTTGTTTCCAATATGTAGCCAGGGTTGAAAACTTCTACTTAACATCTTTTCTAAATCATTACTCTTTTTGATAACTTTGATATCTTTTACAGTGAAAAAAAAAAGAAGCCATTAGAAGAGAACGTCCACAAGTTCCCACTATATATACCCACGTAACTATATCTGTGGAGCAATGGTTAAGAGCTATGGTCAGCTACAGCTGCTAACCAAAAGGTCGGCAGTTCGAATCCAGCAGCCATTCCTTGGAAACCCTATGGGGCAGTTCTACTCTGTTCTATAGGGTTGCTATGAGACGGAATTAACTCGACAGCAATGAGCTTGGTTTTGTATGGTAACTATATCTGCGTCCATGGTTCAAATGTGTATCTTGCTACCATACATGAACTTTTCTTGTTCCAGTCTAAGGCCAACCCCACCACTTGTGACCTAGATCTCACCCCTTCTCACCAAGTTGAGGGCATTGTTCCAGAAATTCTTTCTACTCTGTAGTGACCCCCTTAACCCCTTCCTTTGTGAATTATTTCTATTAACATATAAAAGTGCTGTCATTTCTCCCCTCTTAAGAACAAACAAATCTTGATCCCACCTTCCCTTCCAGCTACAGTCCTGTTTCAAGGAGGTTACAATAGAAGGAATTGTCTATTCTCACTGCCCCACAATTTTTCTTCTCTCATTCTCTCTTGAACCTACTCCAATCAGGCTTTGCCTTCTCCATTCCACCAAAACTGCTCTTGTCAAGAACATCCATAGTTTCGGCATTGCTAAATCTGGTAGTCTGTTTCTACTTCAACTGTGGAGTCCCTGGGTGTGCAAATTGTTCAGCTGCTAATCAAAAGTTTGGAGGTTGGAGTCCACCTAGAGGTGCCTTGACAGAAAGCCTAGCTGTATACTTCTGAAAAATCAGCCGTTGAAAACTCTATGGAGCATAGCTCTACTCTGACAAACATGGGGCTACTGTGATTTGGAAATGACTCAATGGCAATTGGTTTACTTCAACTGTGGTCTTAGGACAAGCAAAAAGTGTCATCACCCAGGAGCTTGGAAGAAATTCAGAATCTGTATTCAGATCCCTGATTTGTATGCACATCTAAGCTTGAAAAGCACTCCAGTAGTAAATTTTCAGACCTCGTTCTACTTACCAGCAGCATTTGACACAGCTGATCATGTGTCCTTGAAAAATTTTCTGTCCTTGGCTTTCAGGATACCATATTCTGCTGGATTTCCTTGGAATGCTCCTTTGCTGGTTTCTCCCAATGTTCCTGATCTTTAAACAAGAAAGTGCTCCAAAGGCTCAGGCTTTGGACCACTTTTCTTCTTCCATCTTTACTTTTATCCTTCTGATCTCCTGGTTTTAATACCATTTATATAAATGATGACCAATTTATATCACCAGCCCTGACCTTGGTCCTGAATTCCAGGCTCATGTATACAAGTGTCTCTGCAACGTCTCTGCTGGATAGCTAATAGCTATCTCAAATTTAACATATTCATAACTGCATTTCTGATAACTTCTTCCTCCATCCATGGCCCCGGCCCCTCTAAACCTGCTCTTCCCATCATTTTTTCCATTCTCTGCTAATAGCAATTTCCTTCCTCCACTTGCTCAGGTCTAAAACTTCAGCATCATCTGTGCTCTTTCTTTCACACCATCCATCAGCTCTACTTTAAAAATATATCCAGAATCCAACCACTTGTCTCAACTTCTATTCAATCTCACTACAATAGCCTAACTTCTTCCTTTGACCTTTTCATTTTATTCTCAGCACAGCAGTCAGAGTGAGCATTTAAAAATGGAAGTCAGAGTGTGTCTCTCCACTGCTCAGAGCATTGCCTTCTCATTCAGAGTAAAAGCAAGTGACATAATGACTAGTAAGTACATAGTGACATAATGACTACTTTTCTGTGCCCCTTGTCTCTGATCTCCCACTACTCTCTCCCTAGTACTCTCTGCTTCAACAACAGTATCCTTATTGTTCCTTGAACAGGCCAGGTATGCTCCCACCTCAAGGCCTTTGAATCTGCTTTTCATTCTGCCAGAAAGCCCTTCCTACAGATACTTAACTTGGCTCACTCTTCATCTTCTGCAGGTCTTTCTTCAAATGTCACTTTCTCAGGGAAACCTTTTGTCTTAGTCATCTAGTGCTGCTATAACAGAAATACCACACGTGGATGGCTTTAACAAAGAGAAATTTATTTTCTCACAGTCTAGTAGGCTGGAAGTCCAAATTCAGGGCGTCAGTTCCAGGGGAAGGCCTTCTCTTTCCACTGGCTCTGGAGGAAGATCCCTGTCTTCAATCTTCCCCTGCACTGGGAGCTTGTCCGTGCAGGAAACCTGGGCCCAAAGGACACGCTCTGCTCCGGGCACTGCTTTCTTGGTGGCATGAGGTCCCCAATTCTCTGTTTGCTTCCCTTTCCTTTTACCTCTTGTAAGATAAAAGGTGGTGCTGGCCACACTCTAAGGAAGCTCCCTTTACATTGAATCAGGGATGTTACCTTAGTAAGGGTGTTACAATTCCACCCTAATCCTCTTTAACATAAAATTACAATCACAAAATGGAGGACAACCACACAATACTGGCCTAACCAAACTGACACATATTTTTGGGCGGACATAATTCAATCCATGACACCTTTCTTAACCACTTTGTCTAAAATCACAACAGAACCCCCTCCCAAGAGTTCCTGTTCCCTTTTCTTGCTCTTCTTGTTAGCACTTATCACTATCTAAAATCATACTATTTATTCTTGTTATCTCACTTCTGTCTCCTCCAGTAGAATTTAAGCTGCATGAGTGCCGAGGTTTTTGCCAGTTTTGTTCACTGGTGTATCTCTGGCATCTAGACCCATGCCTGTCACAACGTAGGTGTTCAATGTATTTTTTGTTGAATGAATGGATAAATGAATGAATGATGGAATCCTTTACAGCAGTGAAAATTTATGAACTCTGCGTAAATAAAGATTGATGAATCTAAAAGTGTTAATATTGAGCAAATAAGTCACAGAAGAACATGTATAGGAAATTCTGATTATTTAAAGATCAAAAACCTGCAAGTGTAAACCCTTATTGTTTACGGACTCATATACATGGGGTAACCATCAAGTCAAGCAAGAGAATGCTTAACACAATTCCAGAAAATGACTGGGGAGCATTGTGGACGAGGCTTCTAAGATTCTGGTGAAGTTATCTTTTGGAAGCAGTGTTGCGTATGTGGGTATTTGATTATTCTTAAACTGTAACTATGCATACATTTTCTTCTGTGTATAGCACACTTTGTAATTACTTAAAAAAAATAGTCATAACGAGTGTTGGGAGCTACGGCGCACTAATCTTCCATAGGCATCTAAATTTGGGTGTTGTCTTTTCAAATCATCTTGCCTGTAAACAAAACAAGTCGCCGGCTGACTTAGGTGGCATTGACAGCACTTGGGAATTCTGCATGTTGGAGGAAAACCTCTGCCTTACTTCTACGTAAGCCCTCCCTGCCACTGCAGCCCCGACTCGGACAGCGCTCTTCCCCACAAAACGCGAGAGCTTGCGAGGGGCAAGGATGCTCATTTCCCAGAAGTCGCCGCGCCGCCCCCTGGGATGCGTAGGCGGCGCGGGGTCCGAGGCATGCCGGGAGTCGTAGTGTTAGTGGCGTTCGGGGGATCTGCGGGGACAGCTCGCCGCCTTTCAGCGGGCTTGTTTCGTGGGTGATCCTCCTTCCGCCAGGGCGACCCATCTAGGGCTGAGAAGCTCCCAGCTGCCTCTTCCGGGCCGTGGTCCGAGCCAGCGCCTCTTTGTCTGCATGAGGCGGCGTGCGGAGCCTCGGCGGGGAGCGGCGAGGCGTCTGTGACAGGCCCAGCGCAGCACGGGGACTCGCGCGGTCACCGGGGAGACGGCCACGCGGCCAGTCGGTCAGGAGGCGCGCGGTCGCGTGCGGGCCCAGGCCGCTGTCGCCTGTGCGGCCTCGCGCGGACGCGGGCCGGGAGCGCTCCTGCCAGGTGAGCTGGGGGTGCGTCTATGGCTGGGCCTAGTATGGGCGCCTGAGCCTTTTGTGGCTGTTTTTTTCTCACCCCTCGTTAGATTTCTAAGTGAGACAGAAATAATAGAAACAGACAACAGAAGCCAGTACTTACAGAGAACTTGACGTGTGTCAGGCACTAGTCTAGCGCCTTAAATGAATTAACACATTTAACCTTCAAACAACTGATAGATTGGCTATACGATTATTGTCCCCATTTTACAAATGAAGAAACTGGGGCACAGAGTGGCCAAGTAATTTACCGACTTGAATTTGGACTCAGGCGAAGATTCCCTTCCAGCTTCTACTGTTTACCATTTTTGTGACTTTGGGCAAGTGCCTGTTTCTCAGTCTCACATCTGTAAAATGGGGTAGCAGTACTTGTAAGTTGTGAAAGATTATAAATAACACATGAAAAGCACCCAGGATTGCGGGTGGAGAAAGTGCGCATCATATAGCTCTACCGTTACTTCTACAACAGCTTCCCTCTCACTAGCTAAGAGTGCCCAGCTGGAGATTAGGCAGCATACTCAGCATGCAGTGCTCTCAGCCAGATGCTGCACTGTCAGAAGCTTCCTGCAATCGGCCCAGGCAGCTGTGGCCAAAGCCCTTCCCTGATACTTGTCAGGCTTCTCCAGTTGCCCTCATACCTTGCTCTCTGTAAGGCACGTGGGGTTCCTGCCCTTCTCAATTGGCGTGTTTGTATCAGGGTGGGGAAAACTAGTTCTAGCTGTGGATACTGTAAGAGGTGGCACCTGTGGATTTGTATTTAGGGAGCAGAGCAACAGTCTGGCCTGTGTGTTTGGTGGGAGAGGGGATGGAGACTGGCAAATTGTCTTAGAGCTGCATTGGCTTTAGAAGCCCTCTTTTTACTTGGATTGGATTTTTTATGTGGGGTGGCTTTGTTGTGACCTGATGGACATTATAGATGGTTGTAATTTGCCCTCCCCAAGCCGTCCCTTGACACCAAAGTTCCTCATAACATCATTTTCCTCTGCAGACCTGCATTGGCAGCCCTCTGCTCTCCCTTGACAGGAAAAATAAGAAGGAAGGAATGGCCATGGACTTGCTACCTGCACAGGTGACAGTAAGTGAAGCTTGTCTTTTTCATGAATTGCCTTCTGTGTTCAGAGATGGTGGACATGTTTCCATTCTTTGTCCAGGGACTTTTCTATCTGATTTCTCTGTGGAGACTCCAGAGCCTCTCAAGTTTTTCCCAGGATCCTGGGCTTATTGCGAGGCTGTGAGGAATGTGCTTCCTTTGGCCCCACTCTCATGTCACCCCAGACTCACTTCTTGACAAAAAATTGAATCAGCTGTGAACATACGCTTCCTACTACAAAAAGTGCTTGGTGATAAGTATGGAGTATTAGACGTAGCCTGTCTCTTCACAGAGGTTATAGTCTTACTTAGGACAAAGACATGGGAGGGCCAAAGATGTCTCTCAGCAAACATTTATTGAGCACCTACTATGTATGGGATACTGTGCAAGGCATGGGGATACAAAGGGGAAAGATGTTATTTCTGTCTTTGAGGAGCTCATGGCGCTATTCTTAGAAAACTGATTAAATGTCCAAGAAGATTCAGGGAAAACATCCTAGAAACAGTCATTTTGAGCTGATTTTGAAGGTCAGGACTGATTCGTGATTAGAGAAGACTAAGGACATCCCTGAAGGAGTTCACCTTGGCTCAGGCTCTGTGGCTGGCACCAGGGAGGACAGAGGGCTGGGGCCTTTCCCTAGGTTTTCATTCTTCTTTAGGAATTCCTCTCCCTAGTGCACTTGTGATGTTAAGCTGTCTAAATTTCGCTCTTACCTGTCCAACCAATGCCTCCATCTCCTTCTCTGATTCTTTTTTTTTTCCCCCGGCTACTTCAGACTGCCCTCCTGGGCCCTTTTCTGTCCTTTCCCCTTTGAGGATACATTTTCATTACTTTATCCCTCACCTTTCTAAGGATTTTTCCCAAATTTCTGTTCTTAGGCCTGGTCTTTTTCCTGAAGCTCCAGTTGGTCATTCCCAAGCCTTTATTAAACATTTCCACGTGGAAGTCCCATCTTTCCTCCCATACCAGTTGCCTTTCCTGATTGCCTCCTTCTGTGGATTTTCCATTCTGCCATACCCAAAGCCTCTAGAGTATAATCTCTGACTCCCCTGTTTTTCATTGACTACTTTTTCAGAAAGCAATGCTAGCTGACTGATTAAAAATATGACTCTGGAATTTGACTGTTGTTGTTGGGTGTGGTTGAGTCAAGTCTGACTCATAGTGACCCATGTGACAGAGTAGAACTGCTCCATAAGGTTTTCTTGACTGTAATCTTTACAGAAACAGATTGCCAGGTCTGCATGGGTTCAAATCCAAGCTATGGTTATGACCTTGGGCAAACTATTTATCTCTATCTGCCTCATTTCCTCATTTGTGAGCAGGGCTAATAATACACCTCATAGAATTGGTGTGAACATTAATAACAGTAGTAATTACAAACACATTTACTGTGTACCAGGTACTGTGTATTACTCTGTGCAAAATATTTTTTTCATATCTTAACTCATTTAATCCTTATAAGAGTACTCTTAATATCTGCATTTTATAGATGAGAACACTAAGGCACAGAGAAGCAAGTAACTCGCTCAAGGTCATGCAGTTGGCTTTTAAACCCATACTAAGCAGTTTATACTGTCAGCATTATGCTCCAAGAAAGTACATGTGAAGGGCTGAGAACAGTGCTTGATACATGAGTGTCAATAAATGCACTTGCTAGTATCATCATCAGAATCATGAGTAGCAACACTATTTTAGGACCTGTCAAAATTTGGGATGACTGTCTTCACTAGAAAGAGCGCTGGTGGCACAGTGGTTAAAGTGCTTGGCTGCTAATCGAAAGCAGTTCAAACCTACCAGCAGCTCTGTAGGTGAAAGATGTGGCAGTCTGCTTCCGTAAGGATTTACAGCCTTGGAAACCCTATGGAGCAGTTCTACTCTGTCCTTACAGGGTCCCTGTGAATCAGAATAGACTTAATAGCATGGGTTTGTTTTTTTTTGTTTCTCCTCACTAGGCTAGACTTTACTTTGATTCTTTAATTACTAGGAGATGAACATTTCAGGAAACCAAGAGATAAAGACCAGCCAAACTGCAGTGCAAAGCAATAGGCAGCTACTTCCTGGGCTCCTGTCTGCCCAAAGGTAGGACTCTTCACTGTCTGACCTTTCCATCACCCCTAAGCTGGAGAGACTGACTTGTTTTAGCTAAGGGCAGATGTAGAGGAGTTTGTTTGCAACCCAGAGCCAGTTTTTTTCTGGACAGCTAATTCAGTGTGTAAGGAGCCCTAGTGGTGCGATGGTTAAGTGTTCGGCTGCTAATTGAAAGGTCAGTGGTTTGAACTCAACAGCCACTCCATGGAAGAAAAGACCTGGTGATCTGCTTCTCTAAAGATTACAGCCTTGGAAACCCTATAGAGCCGTTCTACTCAGTCACATTGGGTCACTATGAGTTAGAATTGCCTTGACGGCACACAACAACAACAATTCAGTATGTAACCCTTTTGATCAAATCTCCTTGGAACCTGAGGTGACTTATTACCCCATTACAAGTCTCTTTGGTCTCAATACCCTATTTGAATCTTTTCAATGATAATATCCAATCTCAACTTCTTTCATTACTCAGGACACTGAGGGACAAATTTCTGTCTGCTGTCTATTAGAAACATTAAACAGCAAGCAAGCATAATCTTTGGAAAAAGTAGGGTCTTCACAGATTTTAAAACTATTCTGTTTCATCATATAGTTATATTCTGGGAAAAAGATACATGGAACTTGATGTTGATTGCTTATAGTTTGTTAATTACTTTTTTTCTACGATCAAGTAGTACTTTTTTTTGTATTGTCACTACTGTTTAAAAACTAATCTTTATTTTTATATCAGTTTTAGATTTAGAGAAAAATTGCCAAGATAATACAGAGAGTTACCACATACCCTGAACCCAGTTTCTCCTATTATTTACATTATATTACATTATTATATTAATATGATACATTTGTTATAATTAATAATGAACCAATATTGACACATTATTATTAACTAAAGTCCATACTTGGTTCAAATTTCTTTAGTTTTTACATAATGCCCCTTTTCTGTTCCAGGATCCCATCCCAGGATACCTTATAACATTTAGTTGTCATCTGTCATTGGGCTCCTCTTGGCTCTGACAGTTTCCCAGACTTTCCCTGTTTTTGATGACCTTGACAGTTTTTGAGGAGTACTGGTTGTCTATTGGGATTTGTGTGATGTTTTTCTCTTTATTAGTCTGAGGTTATGGGTTTTTGGAAGGGAAACCACAGAGGTAAAGTGCCATTCTCATTACATCATATCAAGGGTAATGTGACTTATCACTCTTGGTGTTGACCTTGATCACCTGATTGATCTTTGTCATGTTTTTCTACTGTAAATTTACTCTTTTTTTTTTCTACTTTTCAATACTGTACTCTTTGGAAGGAAGTCACTGTACATATCCTGCACTTAAAGAGTGGGATGTTATGCTTCACCTTCTTGAGGGTTGAGTATCTACATAAATTATTTGGAAGTCTGCATAGAGGATTTGTCTCTTTTCCCCCATTTATTTAGTCGATCATTTATTTCAGTATTTATTTTTTACCTTGGGTTATAATTCAGTACTACTTCAGTTTGTTGCTCAAATTGTTCCAGCTTTGGCCGTTCGGAGCTTTTTCAGTTGGCTGTTTTGTCCCTTTGACATACCTGCATCAATGTGTTTGTGTGTGTGTTAACACTTCCTTACTTTCTGTCACTACCAGATGCTCCAGGCTTATCTTGTATATTTCTTGGCTGAGTCCTAGAATCGGCGATTTCTCCAAGGAGCCCTGATTTTATATATTGAAGAATGGTATTAGAAAACAAGATGCAGGCCCTAGGTTTGCTCATTTCAACTGGGATGTCTTCACTTTCAGACTTTCTCAGCTGAGAGAGCAAGGGAATATATGTGTACACTAACCTGTGTATGTAAATATGGATTTTTCTATATGTAACCGTTATATCTATATTAAGCTAAATGTGAGTTCATGCTGCTATCTCCAACTCTTACCCATTACCACAGGGATCATTCTAGCCTCCTTTTCTTCCTTATCTGCAAACTCCTATTCCAGCAGTGATAAATCTGGCTCTTAGCATCTACCATCCATTTATTAACTGTTCAATTCAGCTATACATGTATAGTAGTATCTGAATTGCTAACCCATTTTCCTGTAACCTCATGGGGAACATCTTTATCAACCAGAGTACAGTGCTTTTGTACAGCTCCTTTTGTCTTTAGTCTTACAGATTCTATTCATCTTCAAAATAAATCAGCTCCTTTTCCCTTACCCTCTTCAGTGAGGTTTATACATTTGTAATACAATTTGATTCTTTTGTCACAATCCATCCTGCAATCCCCTGACCTCCTATAAATGCTGTTTTAAAAATTTGCATACATTAAGGTTCAATCTTTGTGCTGTAAAGTTCTATGGATTTGACAAATGCAGTGTCAAATTATTATATTTCACTACCCTAAAAAATCACTTGTGCTTCACCTATTCGAGACCCGTTCTTCCCCCTTCCTGAAACCCTGGCAACCATTGATTTTTTTACACTATATATCAATCAAAGTAGCCCTGTTGGTGCAGTGGTTAAGTGCTTGGCTGCTAAACAAAAGACTGGCAGTTTGAACCCACCCAGCAGCTGTGTGGGAGAGACACCCTGCAACCCACTTCCTTTTTAGATTACAGCCTAGAAAACCCTATGGAGGAGTTCTACACTGTCATATGGAGTCACTGTGAGTCAAAAATGGACTCGATGGCCCCTAACAGTGACATATGTCAATCATACTTCTTTTTGTTTTTAGTGATTGTCTTACAGTATCGCAATATACATTTACAACTAATCTAAGTTCATCTTCAAATAAAGCTATACCATTTCACAGGTAGTGCAGTTACCTTACAGCAGACTTTTCCTAATTCCTCCCACCCATCCCTTCTGACACTGCTGTCGTTAATTACACTCATCCATATGCTATGATCACCTAATACACTGTTACTATTAC